GACACACAAACTTGAACACACAACACCACATACACATATATCAAAAAAACAAAGACAAAGGACAGCCATGGTGGCACACACCTCTAAACCCAGCACTAGGGAGGCTGAGGCAGGAGGATCTCTGTGAGTTAAAGGCCAGCCTGTCTACACAGGGAAGCCAGAGTTACACAGAGAAACATTGTCAAAGAAAAGAAAGGAAAAGAAAAGAAGAGAAAGGAAAAGAAGAGGGGGAAGAACTAGCCTTTTATTATGAAATTACTAATTCAGGGATAGCGGGATGTCTCAGAAGATAAAAGTGCTTACGTCGAAAGCCTTACAACCTGAGTTTGATCCTGGAAGTCAGTGGAAGGAAGGAAGTAGCTCCTGAAAGCTGTCTTCTGATCTCCGTGTGTACTGTCCCATGTGTGTGCTCCCAACACTAACCAATAAGAAGAAGAAATAAAAGCTACAAATGCAGCTTGAAGTAATACAGAGAGCATAAAGACAACAGTAGCAATCACTCAGAATCCTCCTCCTCTAACATTTGACCTTCCAGCCTCCCTACACAGGGCTGAGCATGAAGGTTGCTACAGGGAGCAGATCCCGGGCCCTGCAGAGCTCATCTCTTGCCTTTTTGCAGTACATCCAGCATGTCTTCCTACAACAGCAGCATAGTGTTACACTATTACTTTACTGGTTATGATGCTCTCTTGTAGTCAAATCTAAGTGTGTGTGTGTGTGTGTGTGTGTGTGTGTGTGTGTGGTGTTGTGTGTTGGCTAGTTTTATGTCAACTTGACATATCTAGAGTCATCTAAGAGGAGGAAACCGCTATTGAGAAAATGTCTCCATAAGATCAGGCTGCAGGCAATTGCATAGGGCATTTTCTTAATTACTGATTCATGTGAGAAGACCCAGCTCACTTTGGTGTCACCCCTGTGCAGGGTTCTATTCTTCCTGAGCAACAGCTAAGAGGAGCAAGCCAGTAACCAGCACTCTTCCATGTCCTTTGCATCAGCTCCTGCCTCTAGGTTCCTGTCATGTTGTTTTCCATCCTGTCCTGACTTTTTTTTTTTTCAGGGAGACAGATCAACTTTATTCAGGGTGAATCAAGGGTTATCTCATTTTAGGGGAGGGGTAGGAATTTCCAGGGTGGCACAGGTCACTGGCTGAAGGCTAAGGTACTGAGATGCCTCATTAGCATGGGGAGGCACTCCAGGGATCTCAGGGGTTTGCTGACCAGGTTTCTTATTGGAGAAAGGAAGTTGGACCTGTAATTTCCCTAAAGGCTACTTGACATTCCTCAGGTAGTGGGTGTAGGGTCCGGGATCTCCCAGGTAGAGAAAGCCTCACTGACAAAGGGAGTCAGTCCACCATCTGGCATGGAGCTTAGGGATATCCAGTAATGTCAGACTTCGACTTTAGCAGTAGGGTTTCTTGACAGCTGAGGATTCCATCCTGGATCTAGTTTTTTAACTGCCGCGATATACTCCTACATTGCTTGGCTGGGGCTTGAGTCACTGAGGGCTTTCCATGCCTCCCATTTTTGCTTTCCTTCAAAATCAAAGAAGTTTGGTTTAGGGATATTGCAATTTCCAACTTTGACCTTTAGCATCATCTCTTCTCAGCTGTGGCTGTGCTTCTTCAAGTAAAACCCAGAAGTCCTATAGCTCTGCTGGAAAGGAACAGATCTTTCCGTGTCCAGCACACTTGGCTGCACGTTGATCCTGCTACAGGAACTTGAAACCTGTCCTGACTTTCTTTGTTGATGAACAATGATGTGGACGTGTAAGCCTAATAAACCCTTTCTTCTCCCAGTTGCTTTCGGTCATGGTGTTTTGTCACAGCATTAGAAATCCTGACAAAGGCAGGAGGTGTGCCATTTAAAAGTGAGTCTTTTCTTTCTCTGGAGGATATTGTGTTAACACGTATATATAAATATCTTTCTATGTTTGTTCATTATTCATACACATTCCTGGATTGACCATTTACTCTAGATCACCAGGAAGCCAACAGCAACACTGCCACATTTTGTTGTTGTTGTTGTTATGTGATCTGTGCGCACAGCCTGCTAACACGGAAGACGTATCTGTCTTTGCTGATGCTTTAAGAGAGCTGCCGT